AAAGAGTGCTTGATTGGGATTCCTGAGGCATTTCCTACATGGGGCACTGCTTTCTCTCCACGTCAGCATTTCTCAAAACTCCACGTGCAGCAGCGTGATCGGGGGCTTGCTTGAACCAGGGCATATTCCTCACCAGCACCCCAAGGACCTTCATGTTAACAAGAGTCCCAGATGACTGTGACACAGATGGAGATCAAACCAACTCGAGAAAGCAGCCTGCGTGGGCCTCCCCCCATAGCCCTGCCCCGTGCCAGCCCTGGACTGACCAGCAATGGCTCCAGGGGTCCGCGGGCTCCATGGGAGCTTCCACAGGCAGAGGTGCCTCAGGCCAGGCAACACAGGGACAGCATTTGAAGAACAGGTGCAAAGCACCCGGGGTGGGGAAGAAAAAGGGCCATCCTGCAGAAGGTGGCCCTCGGAGACCTGCGGACTTCAGCCTCCCTGGTCTCTTGGCCTGAAGGAGGAAAGCAGACGCCTTCCTACTCCTGAGCCAGGAAGCGTGGCTGCCTGGGCATCTCAGGACAGACGCGGCCGAGGGTCCCAGAAGCCAGAGAAACTCAAACAGCGCAGATGTTCAGTGAATATAATGTGGATACACTTAAAAATAGCTCAAATGGTAAAATTTGTGTTGTATATATTTTACCACAATAAAAACTAATTCGCTGAATGAATAGACACCTTGAACCAAAACTAAATAAATAAAGTAACAGTAACTGAGAGTCACTTGCCTACACAGGACTTTCTTTCTGAAACTGAGACACAGTTTCCAGGACACTTCTGAGAGTGAAAGGGCATGATTAATATGGATACCAAGATGACAGGCCTCACCTCTGAGCAAAGCAGGACACGTGGTCACCCCACTAGAGCAGAAGGAGGACACAGAAGGAGGTAGTGGTGTCCATGCTGAGCCTTAAGCAGAGCAGCTGTGCATCCAAAAGGGGAAGAGGCACCCTCCTCGCCCACAAGGAAGACTCAGAAGAGCAAGGGAAGTCTCCATCCATATGAACCACCTCTGGCAGCGTTTTATAGTTTTTCCCTCATAACTAGGTAAACTGCTACTCTACTAAACAAAAACTAATGACATGTAAACTCGTTCTTTCTGTTTAGTCTGAAATTAAAGATTAGAAGAGGGGAAATACACGATTTCTGACAGAACACACACCCTATCCTATGGCCCGTCCCGTCTGTAAGGATGAGAAAATGAGCATCAGATATGTAAGAAGCCTCATCAGCTTCTTAGAAATGGAAGGAAATACTTAAATATCTATCATTCTCAGACTCAAAATATTTTGGAGTGCATTCCTTCTATGAGAGATTAATACTGTGAGAACAGGAAAAATGCTGTCAGACAAAAAAACATAATTACCAAATTAATAACGCAGTGGAGAAAGTGAATGGCTATTTGCAACCATTTCAATGCTATTTGAAAATGGTTTCAGTGACATGAATGCCATGTAGAGAAATCTTCACCTGCCTGAAAAGAAAAGGTGAAGAGGTGAAGACCGGGCAGAGGAGAAGGGAGATCACTGAGAATGTGACTTAATTGCATGTGATGCTCAATCCACTCAACATGCAAAGTGCAATGTAAAACAATCATAAAGTGACTGAGAACACTCAGTCTCAAGAGTAACCTAAGAGCCGCCTAACAAAGCAAATGCGTCAGCAGGTCTGGGCATCAAAAGCAAGAGTGCACATTTGGAGAAATAAGCTTCCTCTCTCCCACGAATGTGGGGATTTAGGCCTGTTCTGTTCATACGTGTGTGACTACCAAGAACGGTATGTGGCATGTAGTAGGTGCATAATAAATACTTGTTGAATAAAAGAATCAAGGGTTTTATGGGGCTGTAAATCAGTGCATATTTATAAGGATAATCTGGTAATATGCATCCTGAAAATACTGATGTTACCCCTGAAAAACTTGTGATGGAAATGTATGAAGGTGGAAAAAACTGGACAGTTGCAATTTTGTAACTGAAAAGCTCAAAATAGTCACTCCTCTTACATACCTGAGGAGTGCAACAGAAGTCTGAACGTCTGGCCAGTAAGAAGCATTAGTGGACATTCTCACACATTTAACCATTCCATAAATGAGGGGTGAGAGCAGGTAAATAAAGCACTGGGCCAGAGAGGAGGACCCCTCTTGGAAAGCAACACTTGGGACAGATGCACGGCTCTTCACACAAGGCTGAGGGGTGGGGGGATCCCGTTACCACGGAGATAGAAGCCAACCAAACAGTTCATTCTCGACTTTTCCTTTTGTGCCTCTATTTGTTTAACTCCACATCACATACCGTTTGTAAAAGTGGCACAAAGATCAGCAAGGACTCAGAGCCTAGATAATGTAGCTCAGTACCTTCATCAAGATACGCATTTGACAAAAGCAAACCTACCCCCGACCTCCTGGCTGCCCGCACCATGCTCGGCCCAAAGAAGATGCCTGCTCAGCGTGGACCAGGCGCCCCGAGTCCAGGTCTTGGCCCCAAAGGGACTGAGCAGTGCCTGCTGGAAGGAAGATGGTCCAGGTTCGGCACTGGGTGTAAAGACGCCCAGATCCCGGCCGCGGCAGATGCTCAGCAAAGATGCTATGAACTTGGTCCAGAGGGACCAGCCCACCCAGGGCGAGGCTCTCAGGAGGCCGGGACCTCTCTTGGGTCCCCAGCCCCACGTGGGTGAAACAACACCCCTGGAGGCTCTGAGAATTTCCTACGTAAACTCATCTGGTGGCAACACTCAGACTGGCCTGAACGTATTGGCAGAACAGGACTTAATCTGGCTCGGGGTTGTGCTGGGGCCCCCTCCTGTTTAGAGAGAAAATCCAGACATTTCTCTGCAGAGGGGGGCGTGCAGCTAAGGGCCAGCCGGTGTCCCAGAAGCAGCCTTGGAGGGTTTGTGAAATAGACAATGTATATACTCTTCTAAAGTCCTAACCACTCTGGACCACATGCAGCCCTCCCAGTCCCTGCTCAGGGACGGTGAGCGGTTGTGAGCCCCACTCTCTGCATGTCAGCGGCCATGTCCCCTTCCACCAAGGGGAGCCCGGGGGGCACAGAGGTTGGACCAGGCTTGCCACATCTGTCCTCAGCATCTGTCATAAGACAGGCCCCGAAAGAAGCAGGAGCTTCTCAGTGCTCACCCTCGGGAACACCAACCTCCAAAACGATGACAGCACATGTATGTTTGAAATTCTTAAAGAATCAGAGCTACTGCTATTCCTAATTTGTCCTGACATAATTTGGAAATAGAAGGGAAGAAGCCAAAAATGTTCTTACCTGAAAAAGTAGGTTTCAACAATGTCATAATGGCCAGGGGTCAGTTTGAGGGGAAAGCAGTCGACGGCCAAAGGCCTCACCATGAGCAAGCCCATCGCCAAGGCCACGAAGAGCACGGGCAGCAGCAGGTCGGAGGCGGTGCCCTTCCAGGCCCGACCCGAGTGGCGGAGCCGCCTCA